ATTTTCTAAAATTTAGAATTTAAAAGAAGAATTTTTATTATATAATTATAGTATTTAAAAATCTATATTATAATTTATATATAAGATAAACTTTTTAAAAAAGAAAACTTATCCCTTATGTCACTATATAAGTGTCTTCGCCTTATTCAGAATAGCGTTGCTGTGATTTAGTACAATAGTAATGCTATCAAAATACAGAAATCTTAGTATAAGAAACATTAAAATTCTATTATAACTTTCTTGCTATTTTAACTTTAAACACATCTATTTCTGCACTAAAACAGCTCAAATAAGTGTATTAAATGCTATCAGCCCTTCTATATACTCTGATTTAGCTGTATATGTATTCAAACTACAAAGAAAACGCATTTATATTGCTATTTTTAGTGATTTTCATTAAAAATCCTTCAAAATTAATTAAAATCGCTCGAATTTGATGCTTTATTAAATTCCTTTATTATTTAAGCAGAAGAGAGTGCTTAGGGGCGCTTATATAAGTGTCCTTAAGCAGATACCCTCTTTATTAGCTCTTTTAGTGCTGATTCCGTTATTAAAAGTAATGTTTCTATTATAAGATAGAACCTGTAAAGACCTGGGTTATAGCCTTAGGTTAATATGTAATGTCTTAGCGCAGTATCACATAATAGTGGGTATATTACTAGGAATGTCCTTAGGGGCTAGAGGTATAGCTCAGAAGGAAAAATAAGAGCATAGCTTAAGAGGAAGAATAGAGGCACGGCTTAGAAGGAAAGATAAGAGTATAAAAAGGAGTATAATAATCTGTACTTCCCTCTATATTATAGAACTCTTAAGTTTTGTCTTCTTATCTATAGGTAGCTAGTTAAGAGCTTTTGCCTTTATTTATAATCCCTTATATTAGATAAAACTTCTTTCTTTATTAAATTAATTATCTCTAAATATTAAAAGATATATTAGTCTTATTACTCTAAAAGTCAGAGTATTAAAAAGCGACATTAGTTTTAAGTAGCTTCTTAATAATAGCTTTTTATTAAAAATTATAACCTTAAAGTTTAAGAGAAGCGATAAAAGAATAGATTTTTTAATAGATAATAAATAGTATAATAAATAAGCTAGATAATAGACTAAACTGCTAGAAAACTAGTAATAATAATAAAGTAATAAGCTTCTCTAGCATATTAGCTAATTAGAAAATAATCTTATATAGAAATAATAATAACAAGAGGCTCTAACTTAGCAACTTTAGATATAATAATTAAGTAAGGCAGAACAAACTATATTATAAGTCTTATTAGAAGAGAAGAAGCCTAAGAAGATAATTAAACTTAATAAATACCCTAGTAAATAAAAAAGCTTAAAGCTCTAATTATAAATAGCTACTACTAAGCTAGTTATTAACTTTACTAAATATATAAATAAAATAAAGTTCTAGTCCTAATAAAAGAATTTAAGGGGAACGCTATAAAGAAACTAATAATATAGAAATACTAATATAGCAACTATAAATTTGTTAGCTTTAACACTCTTTTATTAAAGATTTATAAAGTTTTTAGAGATTAGTATAAGTGAGAAAATACGCTAGTATGTCTAAATTAGCTTTAGTAAGGAAAGAGTAAGTCTTTTTAATCTTATCTTTAGGAGTTTAAAAAACTACTTTTAAAGTTAGATTAATTCTTAGATTTAAATACTTTTAAAAAAGCCTCTTTAGAGACGATAATAATAAGAATTTATATAAATAAATTATCTTTATAGAAATCTAGTAAATAACTTATAATAAATATAAGGTATTATTATTAGAAGTTAGTAAGAAAACCTAGAGATTAAAGAAACTCTAGATTATATATTAAGAATATTAGTAATAAAAGAAAGCTTCAACTATATAAGAGAGCGCTAATTTAATAGATTAGGAATCTTTAATAATGAAAGCGTTAATTAGTAAAAAGAAATACATAAAGTAAGTAATAAGTAATAAGCTTTAAAAGAGAAAAGACTAAGAACTCTATATATAATGCGAAATAAATAAATATTTTATCTCTTAGTATTTGTTTCTTCTAGTATAATGTCCTAAAGAATAGGAAATAAGACAGTAACTAGGACAGAAAGTATTAATTACTATTACTCTATTACTTAAGAAAGAAGGAGGAGAAGAGATAATTAAGTTAGAAAACAAGTAGCCCTTGCAAGAAAGCGTAAG